TTTGCAAGATTCCTTCAATGCAGTTTTACAATAAAGTAGAATGAGCTCATCTGGTCATGTGCCCTGTACATCGTCCACCTGACATCAGTTGATAGGAAACCCTTTTTAAAGTCCACCATCACTTTTTCATGTAATAACAAATTACACAATTTAACTATGACCTATTTTCTTTCATTTGCCCTGAAACATACTATTCAGCTTCACTGGACCATTTTAGTTACTATACTAGGAGAGATCGAAAAAATACGTCTTATCTATGTTCTTAGTATGAATATTACCTGCACATTTGTCATGTTCCCATTTCAATCTTTTTTAATTTATTTTTTAACTGTTAAAACAATGCTAAACATCCTAATTTTACCATACGGAAGTCCATATATCTTATTCCAGACAACGTTAATATTGCATTGCTGTACATAAAGAAGATCATTATTCTACTTAAAATGCAGTTTTCTTCACTTATCATCTACCATATGACCAATACAGCTCTAGTCAAATTTGAATCCTTTATATTATTCAGTGGCAGCAAGTAGACATGGTTGTCCTGTATCTCAAAGTCCTCTACTTGCATAAACTCCGTGGTATTCCCACATTTCTCTGCATATGAAAAGGTAAAGATGTCCTTGAGTCAAACTTGATTCCTGGTGATTACATGGACACAATCATGAATTTATCTTGACAGTTATGCAGAAGTGGTTTTTCCCTGCCTTATTCCATTACGGTTTTTTGATTAGCATAATTTCTTGGTATTTCTTGGCAGCCTTTCAAGTGCTAACCAGAGCCCAGACAAGTTCAGCTAGGTTCTGCCATCTACTGAAACTTGTATCAGAATTACTCAATTGCTAAGAAAATGTAGGAGACATCTTTGTCAACATTTAAATTAGCTTTCTGTTAAGAAAGGAGCAAAAAAAGCACTTTCAATTAATTTAGTAAAACTTTCTGAATTATTTAATTCATGATACAAAATTACCAGTCTTTAATTTTTTACTTTTTTAAAAGAAGTAAATATTGAAATATTACATCACATAATAACTGTTACATAAATTTGATGCCACTTAATAAAGCTATGTTTAAAAATAAAATAGACCCGTGATGGCGAACCTATGGCACAAGTGCCAGAAGTAGCACGCGAGAGGTCACCCGGAAGAGCCCAACTGTACATGCATGTGTGCACTTCCACCCAATAGTTGATTGTCGGGTATCTGGCGCACATGCGTAGGGGGCAGGGGTGCACGGGAGACACAGTACATGCACAGAGACGCATGGCATGTTTGGAGATCACACTCGCATGTGCAGAGATGCACAGTGTGTGTGAGGTGTGTGTGTCATGCACGCATGCGCAGGGGACATGGGGGGAGCACGCATGCCTTCTGGTCATGCACACGCAATTTTCGCCATGGGAGCCTAAAAAGGTTAGCGATCACTGAAATATACTTCCAATCCCAAATTAGGCTACTGAATCAAAGAATGTGTAAAAGGAAAACCAAAAGTAGTTATGTAGGTTAAAAAGAGCAACAGGCTTAATTACGGTGCTGAAAAGAAATTCCCAAAGTTAATGTGAATTCAGAAGTGCTTTATTCATTAATCCTAAGAGCACAGCTTAACCCTAAACAACTATTCTTTATGGGAATCCAGTTGTTAAATCATGAGGTCTGAAGGAGAGAGGGAAGGAGAAAGGAAGGAAGATCATCCCCTGCACTAGGGAACTTATTTGTGTGGGACACATAGAGGTAGTGGGAAGATACAAGTCCTTCAGCATTAGTGTTATAAGAACCCATTTCTCAATTTCAGATTAACACTATGTAATACAAAAACCATTCAGCTTCCTATTCTTCACCTTAAAAATATTAATCATTAGAGTTAGAGAAATTATCAAGCAATTAGTGATGATAATAAGAGTTACCTCTTGGAAATATAAAGTAAAAGAGAATGATAATAAGAAATTATCATCATTCACTTGTACTTTATACTCCCAAGGGGTGCCTTTGTTACTTAGCAAGGAGTTTAAGGGTTTTATATCACAATGGCCAGCACTGAAGTATTTCCTTTGAAACCTGGCCATGAAGTTGCATTCATCTGATTTAATAATGCATCCATTTTTGGCAAATGCTTATACAAATTAAAGCAGATTCCTGAGATTCAGATTTTCTCTAAGAAAAAGTACTGAACATTCCTTGATGTTCTCCATTTGCTAAAAAGAAAAAAAAGTTGGTAATAAAGTCCAGCATATTACATGCTATTTACCCTGCAAAATTTCAAATCACAATAAAAATCCTTTGTACTTTGTCCACGATCCTTTCAGCACGAGACTCTAATATTATTCTGTGCTTACCTTACCAATCTAGCTGCCTTCGTTAATTCTGAATAATACCAATTTCAGATAAGCTCTTGGATGTCTTATGACTCAATTTGCTAGCTCAGGGATTCTCTCAGACATTGACCCAATTAGATAGCGAAAGAGTGGGAATGGCCCTTGCTGTTTCAAGAATAGAATTTCAAGAAAATTCTGCAAGGTAATAATTGTATTGCTAGCATTCTCATGGAGACAGTGGTCAGCAGAAGAGCTCATCTGCCAACTGTCTTTTTTTTTGGGGGGGGGGGGTTATGCAAGAGCATCTATTTCCTCACAGATAAAAGGACTACTATAGATAAAAAAATGAAAAAGTACTTTCATCAGACGATCCAATGCAATTATGTCCAATAGTGAACCTTCCACTAAAACAGGGGTAGGGAAACTTGGCTCTTTTATCACTTATGGACTTCAATTCCCAGAATTCCTGAGTGACCCATAAAAGGTTCCCCATGCCTGGCCTACTGGTTTTTCAGTTGTGAGGGAAATCAATTTTTTACTCGAATGGGACTGTTTAATATACAAATGTAGGACATATAAAGAATATACATGTCCTACATTTGTATATTAAACATTCCCATTCAAGTAAAAAATTGATTTCCCTCACAACTGAAAAACCAGTAGGCCAGGCATGGGGAACCTTTTATGGCTCACTCAGGAATTCTGGGAGTTGAAGTCCATAAGTGATAAAAGAGCCAAGTTTCCCTACCCCTGCACTAAAAGCTATAGGGTGTGACAAATTTTAAAGTCTAACACATGTAAACAATGATATTAGAATGCAGGTTTGGAGTTGGATCCCTTTTATGTATCAATCAATGTCTTCATGGGTGTAGTTTATTTGCATCCTTTGGAAAGTTTAAAATTGTTTCCAAAGAGTCACCCAGAGAAACGGTTACTGGTCCATGATGTTGTTGCATCAACTCTTTCCAGGACAATAAATTCCAGAACTATGTAAAAATGAAGTAGGAGATATAATTTACAAAGGCCACATGGTTTACTTCAGACCCAATGAAACAATGACTTATCCAACAAGAAACTGGGTTTCCACATCTTAATTAGCAGAAGTGTACTATACTATGCCTTCACCCTGAGAAAAAATAGCTATCAATACAAACAGCAGGCCTCAATGAGGGGAACACTTCATGCCACAATGCTGCATCCATCATTCCAAAAACAATTGCCTGCTTTCTTAAAGCTGTGACCATGGGATCTGCTACAGTGCCTGTGATGTAACAAAATTCCACTGCAAGAGCAACATTGCTAATTCAAAGCATACATAAACACTCATTGTGTCAAGAATCCGGGGGACAGATATTTCTTCCATTGATCCCCAAGGCACAGTATTGTATTTTTCAAGAGATATCCATCCTTAATCCATTTGATGACATCACTCAGCTATCGAAGCGATGATACGCTTGTCTTTATTATAATACTTCAATATAGCGCAGGCTGGGTGACATCCTAAGGCCATTTCTCCACTAACAACCTTTAAAGCCTCTGCACAGCATCCTCCAGCCTTCACTGGAGTGGTATAAAGCCTGTTCCTCATTGCTATCGTACTACAACAATGGGTGGATGACTCTAGAAGGTACTGAAAGTCACAAGTATGGAAATGAATGAAGTAATATCAGTTCTGGAGCAGACATCCATCAGCTGGAAAGGCTTTTTTGTCTGTCCTACTCCATCCCTTTGGAAGAATCCCTGCAAGTATTCCAAGGCTGACAGCCAGCCACACCTCACAGCCTTGCTCGCAGATTTCAGGGGGGGGGGGGGGCAGTCACCCTGTCTCCAGCACTTGAGACAGGAATGTTCTGCCCAGCTTTTTCTAAGGATCCAAAAAAACCCAAAGGCTGTGCAAAGAGCATCCTGCTCCCCCCCCCACTGTTTAAAAAAAATTTACCTGTATCTCTGCCCTCTGATTCTTGGCAACCTTCCCTTTATCTCCAGGGAGAAAATCAGAGCTGAGGAAAATGACCATCCTAAACCTTCCACTATGTGGATGATTGGTGGGTTGCTGTTGTTGTTGTTGTTTGGTTTGGTTTTTTTTGGTCAGGTGTCTGGTGAGATTTACTTTGACGGGAGAGTTTGTTTTGACTTTGCACCTCCGCCATTTTTATCGAACTTCTCCCCCCCCCCCCCAAAAAAAAAAACCCAACGAACACCCGTTGTCGCAGCCAAAATGGAGTTTGCCTGTCACTCCCTCGCAGACCTGACCCTGCTCTGCCCTGCCGAACGCGGCACCCGAACTCTAACGGGAGCGCCAGGATAAAGGGAGGCTCGCTGACCCCCCCTTTACCAAACGGAGAAAACGCTCGGCTGCTTGAAACCGACGCCGGTGGCGAATCCCGAGGTGGGCAACAACTTGGCTCTGCCTCTGGCGACCCCGCTTCAAGTCCCGAAGCGAGAAAGTAAACCAGCCGCTCCGCCAGGCTTTCTGAAAGCCGGATCACGAAGTCCCTTCCCGGAGAGGGCAAACTGGCAAGCCGCCTTCGATTCCCAAGTCCAGGGGAGCGGCAGGAAGTCTCCGAGGAGATCCCCGCGCTCGCCGGGGGACCAAGGGCAAACTTTACTAGCTCCGGTTCGGCGCCTTCTCCTCTGGCAGCGCTTCCGTACCCCCGACTCCAGCCCCGTTGGCGTCCCAGCCCCTTACCTTTGGCGCGCCTTCACAGCCGCTCCGCCGGCGCGTCCTTGCGGCGGGGTACGCCGCTCCCCATTTTCATCTCCCCAGCGCGCTGCGTGCCGGTCGGTCGGTCGGTCCGGATTCGTCCGCCGTGGCTGAGACTCAGCAGCGCAGGCACGTGCCCGAGCCCTTTCGGCTCTGGCGCCAGGAAACGGCTGGCATCGCCTCGCTTCGTCCCTCTGGCGGGGCTGGCCGGCTCTGCCACTCCGCCGCTCGACACACGCGCGCAGCTTTTGGAGGAGGCGCCGCACGGCGCGGCAGCAGGCTGCCCGTGCGCTGCTCGCCGCCAAGCTGAGCTTCAGGCTCCTCGGGGGGCTGCCGGGGAAGGAGAAGAGAGGGCTCAAGGAAGGGCTGCAGCGACTCCCAGAGCCCGAGGAAAGGATTACGTCTCGTTTATTTATTTATTTTGCCCGCTTGATCGCACTGCAAAAAGTCGACCTTTTTTTTTCTTTTTCTTTTTTTCTTTTTTTACTGTCGAGAGATCAAAACGCAACTTAGAACGAGATCTTCCTCCGGGAACTCTGGTGACCGGCTGGTTCTCTATCTGAAACTAGAGGTATTTCCGTGAAATTCTTAGCCTGTCTTTGTCGGCAGATAGTATTCGTGGGCTTTTCCATTTGCAAAGGTACGCGGCGGACAGAAATTCAAGGGAAGAACGCTTGCAGAGATAAGGGAAGGTTCCCCCTTATTGAATTTATCTGCCCTCAGGGATTCAAGCACGTACGAGATTTGCAACGAGAGGCGTGCAATATCTTTTCCTCCCATGAATGCAAGGAATGGGACTGATTTCTTCCCTAACTCACCCGTAATGCTAACCCGTAACAGCTAATCGGAAAATCACGTTTGAGTTCCCAGCATCGCTTAATGCCAATGTTTAGTGTTAAATGTATTATCGGCATTAATAGTAGAATTATGTGCCCATTCGTATCAATAAATGGTAGAAAGATTGGATTTCAAAGGAGTGGGGTTGACGGAAAATTTTCAGTTTCCTTCATCTCTTCCCTTTCTCCCCTTTCCCCAAAGACAAAAGGTCCATTCCCCCATGTTCAATTTTCCTACAAATATTATGTCACAGTGGCTATGACTAAAAACCCAAATAAATTATGCCCGAAGTAGAATGTGGGCATAACCAATGAGTATGAGTTTTGTTCACACAAACTTCTAAGCCAAGATTTTTTAAATCCATCTTTTGCTGAGCAAGCTACCATGGGCTGCATTGCAGGCATTACTAGAGCTAAATGAAGCATACAGAGAAGTGTCTTGGAAAGTACACTGCCATGAGCAGAACATCCTTATCAAAGTAATGAGGCCATGCTAACAATTGGGAGGCTTAGCTATTTAACAGAGTTTCACGTTTGTCGTGTATGCTCTTCCATGACACACAAGATTTCTACTAGTACTGCTAGTAGTTATGCCTACATGTGGAAACCTTCCGCAAGGCCCTTGAAAGACCATAGTCAGCCTTTTGGAGAATGTAAACTTAAAGAGAACCACCTTGGAAAAGGCAGGCACCCTTTCCCATGCTTTACAAAGCCCTACTCTAAAACTTAATGAATTCAGATTCATGCTAAATCAGAACTATGTTAGTGAATAAATTCATTCAGAGATGTATCTGTAAAGCCATGCCCTTCACACTCATCCATTCATAAATAGAACTCTTCGAAAACCCACACATTCATAACACAAGCTCAGGTCATTTCACTTTTGCCTTTTCTCTCATATTTTTTCTCATCTTTCTTTTTTTTTACATTGTTTCTGTATACTTGGTGGTATGCATTAATACACTTACAAGCATACACGAGGTTAGCCTCTCAGATCCATTTTGGACCTTAGGAACTTCCAAGAAGTCCAGGTTCAATCCAGAACGGATTGCCCTGTCTGATCATCTGTGGTGGGATTCAAAAATTTTTACTACTGGTTCTGTGGGTGTGGCTTGGTGGGCATGGCAGGATACTGTAAAATCTCCAGTCAGACGTGGTATTTGCCGGTTCTCCGAACTACTCAAAATTTCTGATACCAGTTCTCCAGAACTGGTCAGAACCTGCTGAATCCCATGTCTGCTGTTCATGTCAGGTTTTTTTTTCTTCAGGCAAGATTAGAAGTCTATGTGATTATATAGTGTATTTAGGAGACATAGGTCTCTCTCCAAGACAGAGGATTCTAAAGGGTTTGACTGTGTCTTGAGAATTATTGCATAACAGCTAAGGTTCAGGGAGCAGTATATAGCAACAAGCTTTTAGTGGGGTTACTACAGGTCTAGTACAGAGCTGCATTTATAATTATTTAAGAAAGCATCAAGATTACAAATATGAATTTAGAATTCTGTTTCTGTACCAACCTCTTCTTAGGGGTGTGTGTGTGTGTGTGTGTTTAATGCCTTAGGGCTTCCAATTTACAAACATCGTCATCCCCATTTTCAACAGATACAATGTAGGTGGTATCTGCAAAATTTGCTTTGGACTCCTTTCTTATACCTAAGTTTGAATACCATCTCTGTAATGTAGCCTGCAACATATGTGATTAACTTCCCCATCAGGGTTTTTTGGGGGGGGATTAGGGGCTATTTTCACTTATAAAATTAGCTACCTAGAAAGCCTTTAAAAAGACCGCCCCCTAGAGTCAGAAACTATTTTCAAATAATTTTCCTTTTCTACAGGATAGGTTTTTTCTGTTAGATGGCTTTGAATAATTTTATGTTTCTTGACTCTACAACTTCCCAATCCTTCACTTAATCCTTATCCTCTACAGAATTCTATTGCTATGCTGATCATGGGCAAACCAGGCAGTGGTCCTTATTTCTTCACACTACCCTCACCCTTTTCAAAAGCCAGCTTAAAATAACAAGCCAGGTTTCAAAGACTGCACATTCTCATCCTTTTTTCTATCCAGGCAAGTCCTTCTGCTTACAAAAACTTGTGGTGTTTTTTCTATAATAGGTGAACAGATGGGCCGTAGGAATATAGAGGTGGGAGCAACCAACTAACTTGTTTTTTTCCTGCGGAGGAAGATTGACTGTGCAGACACATATATTATCCTCGTTCACTTCTCTGAAGCCTTTTTCAAAGGGTTTTCTTTCCCCCAAAGTCTATCTGAAGAGGCAAACTATTCAAGTTACTTAGATAGCAAGGAAGCAACCTGCAGAAGGAAGGCAAGGAATTTTATTTTGAGACAAATAAAGAATAATCTTCACTGGAATATATCCACTTATATATGGATAGTTCAAACAAACAGGACAAAACCTAGCTTTAAAAGTTAGGAGTCTCTGATAAAAGTAATTTTCAAATTAAAATGTTCTTTTGATGATGGAACTCCAGGTTGTAATTGGAAACATTTGTGTGGAAAAGTTCAATATCATTATGACAGATAATATTCTTTTACCGTTTGCATTCTTTCTCTCCTTTCAAGTAGAAATGCTACTCTTTCACCAAGAATATTGTCATCTTCTATGGTTTTTGTTCATTCCTTCTTTTAGTGCAATGCTAGTAATTCTTCTGCATGCTTTTTTAGAACTCTTCAATTTTATGGAGAAAAATTATTTTCATATTGTGAAACAAGTGTGAAATGCTCAAGGAATTAATGCAGGATGCTCATAGCTAAATTTAATCTTTCATACCTAAATGTAATCTTTCCTTTAAGAAAGCATCTCTCTCACCTGCACCCTCTCATGAGAAATTGGTGTTTAGGAATAATGTTTATTTTAGAATAAGTTTCTTCTTTTAGAAGAATTATTCCCTCCCCCTTTTAACAGATGACTAGAAAATGGAAAAACTCTTAACCAGTTGCTTATGTAAAAAGAATATGATTTACCAAAAAAGAAAAAGAAATTTGGAATAGAGAATTATACCTACATTATAAAATCAACAGTCTCAAGTTTATTTAAATAATAATAATAAATTTCTTCCTTAAGGGTTCACTTAATGAAATTTGTCAACTGGCTATTTATCAACCTAAAGGAAAGACTGCACAATATAATTCTTGTGGTCAAAATTCAATTTGAAAATTGAGCTGTTTTGATTTGTGTAAGATGATAGGGATGCTTCAAAGGTTATAATGGTGAAAAATGGTCATAAGTCACTTTTTTCAGTACCGTTGTACCTTTGAATGTTCACTAAACAGTCTGTTTAAGTCAAGAACTACCTGTATTGCTGCCATCCGCTTATTGTCTCCCTGTGTCAACACTGACAGTTTGTGGATTTCTCCTCCTTCCACCCAATTTGTTGCGACTTCCCTTCTTTTATGAATTCCACTTCCCCTTTTTTATGAATTCCCTCCCCCCCCCACTCCTCATTCCTGCAGATAGAATCAGGGAGTGAGAAAGTTAAGTGTCAGCTTTGCAAGGTAGACCAGACAGGAAAAATGGCCAGATTAGTTCCTTTCCCCACCTTCTTTGTACCCCAAAATAATAGGGGAGCCTCTTAACAGCCCCCCATGTTCCCGCTTCAGGCAAAGGTGCCTTTTATCTGACATTTCTCTTGCCTGTCTCTTTTTGTCCTGTCTCTCAAGGTCATTCCTGTATAAAATTACTTTGAGATGTTCACCATAGTTTTTTTCAATAGCAGCCACCATCTTATATATTTTTTAGTCCTCCTCCCCTCATACTTCTAGAAACACCTTTGCCAAATATTTTTATCATACTGCCCCTCAACTTCTGCAGTATGTTCTAATCCACAATGATGTTCTTATTTTAGTTCCTGTTTCCTTCTTGCTTTCCTCTAGCCCCCACCCCACCAATCCCTGGCCCCAACTTCAGTTTTCATGTCAGATCTTCATAGGTGATTTATCTTTCTTCTCTCAAACATAGCATCCTTGGATATAATTTCCCTGGCTCATCTCCCAAATTTGCACTCTGTTCTCTGTTTCCATCTTTGGTGTTAAGAATAAGGAAGATTATCTTAACAGAGATATGCAAGGTTTGTTGCCAAGGCAACAAGAGGCGAAACATACTTTAAGTACATAAATACAGCCAGTTAAGATTCAGAAGTGGCTCAGAGAAACAGCTCCCTAATTCACTGAATTAGAATTCATAGAAGGTGATACAACATAATCATATTTC